GGATACATTATATGTATTCATATTTAAGCAACCTTATAGTATATTATATTAGATCATATATTTCACCAATACATGGGATTATGTAGCCATTTTAACCAGAAAATAGGAAGTCAAAAATATAACACACAATTGTTACATTTTACATTTTATGTTATGAAATAAAAAATCATTAATAAGGTAGTAGCATTGACTAACTAACAATTCAATTTCATTTTAATAATTTTAATAAGTTGTCTACTATTTAATTCTTTAACAGCATCCGGTACATAAATAATTTGGATGCTAATACGAACATCGTTCTACTGTAAAATTCCAAATTATAGCGTTAATTTGGCCGTATTTCTATTTGATTCCTTGTATTTCTAGGATTTCTAGTTTTGACTATATTAAAGTTACCTAGGTTTTGTTTCACATAAGCATAGGCCTCGTAAATATACATCGGTAGTATGGTTAATGTCTTTATCTACACACAAATCATAAACCCTCTATGATGTGTTCAAAAACCGCAAATTATGACCAGCATAAAGATAAACTGTTTTGTTAGAACAAATTTTGTTATCTGTGAAAATTTTGTTATTGCATCATTATAACATCGAATTCGATGTTATTATGACATTCAAATTTCGAACATCTCTGAAGAACAAAACAATTTGATTCGACCTCAATTCTAATATCAGTCGAGATGAAGTTTTATTCAAAATGAAATGTCAATAGCAAACAATTTTGACAAATGTCACACGTTACTTGACATCGAACGATATGATAGTTGGGGCCGACTCTAGTTTGTCTATGAATTAAATAAAAAGTACGGTTGTGTGAAGTTTTTATTTGCCGCCATTTCGCCTGTCGTAACATGCGGTTCCTTAACACATCACAGAGAGCTTGTAATATGTGAGTAGATAAAATAATCAGGCATTGCAACACTCGTGAGATGTTGAAACCCACACCCGTATTTTAATGCCTTTTAATGTAGCAGTCACATAAACTACCATTTCTTTTTTAATATAGTTTTCAATTAAGTAACTTTATAATTAAGGGTGCCATGTGTAATTACTGTACAGTGTAGCTCGTATGCTAGTAAACACTTGGCCGGGTACGCCGCACTGCGTTCCCCGTTCAATTTGGGAGCGGAATAAATTCAGCTGTCGAAATATTGTCCCGTTGTTGCTTTGTTGAATTGAATGTTTCGTTTGTGTTTGTTTTACGAATTTGCTATTCATTTTGGTCCCTTTTGTTTCCGTTAATTATTTTGACGTCACCTCATATCGTTGCTTTTCAAGAATACACAAGCCAAAGTTCATATTTTACGTGCTGTACAACTTTTTTGTAGCAATAGAGCTCTTTTTGAAAGAGTGCATTACTGCGTTTCGGTTTTTTTATGTTTTATTTATTAATTTTCATCAGGCAACATGTCCCATATAATATATACCTTAAGCACTAATATACATATAATACAATATAAAAAAAGTAATCTACACGAAGTGCACTTGTCGACGTCGTGTGGCGCATTCTGGTGTCAGGTACCCTGCCTCGGTATATGACACCCTTCGGCTAAAACTCCTTCATGATTTCACGGAACGCTTCCGCGTCCACCTCAGTGCGGCCTGAACATAAGGTTGCTGGTGAAATTACAGGCACATAGGACTTGTCAACTTATGTCACAATATGACGGGCGCAATTATAGTGCCACTCAGAGTCCCGAGTGTAAATTTATAATCAATTAAACTTAATAATATGTTTATAAGGTTTAAATTAAAATCTTAACGCAAACGCGATAGTTAGTTTACATATTTGAAAGCTTATACTAAGGCCTCCAGATCTTTGTGATTTAAGTTATGGACATACATCGCTTACCACTAGGCGCACCGTCCTCCTGTCATACCGTCACCTGGTATCATAAAAAAACTGTTCAGATTATGCAAAAATTTATTGTTAAGAAGACACCTAGCTTTTTACTGGTTAAAACAATCATGCGGCAACATTGGCGCAGCCTACGATTGCTCGGCTTTGGACGCCAGGTGCGACTTAGCGTTTTTAAAGCAATTCCATTTGAGTTCCAATTGAATTAGGTGTTTTTGAGATAGGCCATTATTTTGGTTAGACATAGATATAGGGCTTTAGGTTAGTCTATGACTATGAATTTGTGCCTAAAATTGTACAATAAAATTTTAAAGACTACTTCACTCATTTTAACCGCGCCGGTTTGCAGAAATAACGCTATTTGCTGAATTCGCAAAGTCTCCTATTGAAAAACAGTTTCGAAAGTTGTAACTTGTGATGGTGTACCGTCACATTCAAAACCGAATACTTTCGGAAACCGCGTTACCCGCTCCCTGCAACGGAATTTAATAACGTATTAATTTATATGGAAATATGGTATTTCCTAAATTTAATATCATGTAAATTTGATATCTGTATCAATTTGATCCATATTTTCGGGAAATTCAAATTGCATTTCATATTTATACTTATAAAAAGATGGTACATTACGATATTTCCTGACATAGTTCGGAGTGTACTTGTTTAGTGGCATAATTGACGTAAGCAAGGTGACATTAAAGATATTTAAAAAGAGAGACTTAAAACATTAGCCCTTGCACAGCCACTCTATCGCGTGTGATCAGGGGGCCTACCACAACCTCTTAAAACAATATTACTTTAACCTTACATTGACTTTTCGTACCATGACGCGCTTAGAGTAAGTAAATTATAATGTTAAAACTATGATGTTTTATTGGCAACTTCGTGACTATTTATATTCACTCAGTCATAGTACGTATGACGCGACTTTTGTTCTTATGTCAAATTTAGCAAAAAAAATAGTTGCTCGGACACAGTGGAACACCATATTATTTTCGAATTTATTGTCTAAGTATTGATTTGTAACGATTAAGATTTATGTTGAACTTATTTACTTACATAAATCTCTTCAATATTTTGTTTATTTTTTTATTTAAAAGTTTTTTTTATTTTTATTTAATAGTACATCGGAAATATCCTCTCGTTAAATAAAAATTCGGGATGTTTATTCCGTGAAATTATAACAGCGACATCTATATGCTCCTTGGCGACACTAACAGTTGACACTAGACTATAATTCCGACTTCAGAACGTAACTATCAAGACCCAGCTTGTTTTATTTATTTTTCTTCATGAATAATTGAAAACAACGTGATTTTAATAGATTTTATTATTACATACTTTTTTTAACAGTTAATTTTCTCTGAATGTAAAAACATTAAGTACTTAAACATTATACTACGATAAGACGATTCGCTTAGCTTACCACAAGGCGCCCGATCTTGTTCGTCCCGTCACTTCATATAAAAAAAAAATACTGTCTTACCATTGACTTACAAATAAATAGACGACGGGTCTAATACAAAAACCACGAAAAAAATGTCACAAGTCAACCTATTTAAACGTAGTGACATGTAAAGGAATATGAGAAAGCTAAAACGTTGAATTTAAATTGTAATGTCATCGCAGTACTGTCTAATTTTGCTTGCTTTGCTGTCAGTCGAACAAACGAAGACTAAAGCGTGAATGACGCTCTGTATACGATTTTAACGCCCTATAAGTTCGGACACTTTTTAGCGCGGACCCGACGTCTATATAATTGTAAGTCAATGTGTCTTACTCTCTCATCTGATTAGCAAGTTATACGTCACAAAACTGGGCACGGGTCTATCCCATGACGAAATTTTTATAATTGCAATTACAGATTGCGAACGGTGCAAGTTTTTTCCATTTTAGGTAGACAGTCACGAATGAATCTTTGAAATTAAACTCATAGGTACAACCCGCCATTGGAAATCGAAACGTACCTACATCTCTTAATAAGAAGCAACTATTTCCCCATTACGCTACCACAGCAGAGTACTTCTCCTTTGTTATTAGAAAGAATGTGGTAGAGTTGAAATGCAGATCCCCTGTTTTCCCCCGAGAGGTTACTAGGGTAATTCAAGTATAAATAAGCAACGTATTTGTATTTGATTTTATTCATAAATTCTCGAGTAAGAGATATGTTTGGTTTGATCTTGGAATTAGATTTTTGAGATGAGCTTTTGAATTATTATTCAAGATTAAGACGTGGGGCACGTAAACCCCTGTTCGTATGTGCGGGTAACTGAGTGGGGGTAATTTTGGGGTTATTGAATAACGAAATCGGTCGTGTTTTAGCTTCGGCAATGTTATAATATAACATTTAGATACATACAATGGAAATGTTTACTTTCGTCATTTTCTTTAAAAATAAAATGGCGAAGGAATTAATCCCTTAACTTACTGGCCGTTTGTTCGATTATCAGCAACAGCATTAATACACTAAAATTAATTAATATAATATATATAAAATTTAATATAATATAATATTTTATATATAAAATTTAATACATGAAAAAATTATAATTCATAAACTTAATTTACTTAATTTAGCTCGCAAGTTTTCTGACAATCGCTTCTAGATTGAAAATATATTGTCACCTACCTAAATAAATGTTATTTTAAATCTAATATATGACATGGGGATTTGATGTAAAATTACTATCTAAATGTTTATATCTAATTTTGCCCGTCTCTTTTTAACCGACTTCAAAAAAAAGAAAGAGGATCTCAAATCGACTGTATGTTTTTATTGTATGTATGTTTTTATTGTATGTATGTTACGCGATAACTCCGGTTTGTGAACCGATTTTGATAATGTTTTTTGTGGCATAGAGGGTACCCCAGTATTAGTTTCATTTAAATTTGAAAAAAAGATTCCACCTCTAAGGGTGGCGAACTAGGAGATGAATCCGGTTTCGCACACTTTACGGTAACCGATTTGAATAAAACTTGGCAAATTATATAACTTTTGGCGGTCGGTTTTTTAGTACTGTTTACTGAGATTACGTTATTTCGAGGAATAGTGCACTTTTTCAGGGCAAAGTTTTTCCTTTACCTTAAAACCAGTGGTCGCTTAGTTCTCTTATTAAACTCTGCCATTCTTTTTATTCCAGACGAAGTGGACGTGATAGGCTACACGTCGAATCAGAGCGACAGCGAGTCGCTTGTGTCTGGACACAGCGCTGACAGCGGTGTGGGCGGCGGCGTCGGCCGGCGGCGTGGCGCGCGATCGCCCGTGCAGTCCGCGCCCCACGCGTCCCGCCGCCGCGCCCCTGCGCCCGCGCAGAGCAAATATGCGTGCGAACGCCCGCGCCGCGCCCAGCGCTCCACGAGGGTTTAGGTAAGTATTTTTTATAATACAAGGGGATACAAATGGAAGATAGAACCTCTGAGGCCTACCCACTAAAAACCTGTGTATGCACTCTCACCCACCGTTGCTGGCTCGTGGGAACCCGTTAAAACTCGGTGATCCGATGGGTCCGACCTACATACGACTATAACATTATAAAACGCTTCATTTTGAAATACTACCAATCATTTAGTACCGACAGTTCCTTATTTTCAGAATCATCCACTAGAGATTTCTATTGTTTTACTTCACGCATATATTTTTCTCGTTTTCAGGTGGTAGGTGCGCGGCGCGCGGAGCGGCTGCGGCGTCGGCCCTCGCGCAAACAATTGTAGAACATTTTGTTGATACATTTACTAAGGCGTCTGTTGTTTCTGTGACTGAACTATGACCACGCGCCACCTTCACCCGCCGGCACCCTCATTCGTACCTCAACGACAACAATGGTGTCATATTTTCTCACCAGCGGCGTTCCTGTGCCAGTCTGAGATGTTGAGGTTGCTGGCTATGTGATCCAGCATCACCCACTAGTGAACACCCGCCGGCACTCAGAGGCGGCCGCCCGCGCTCGCCACCCTACGCGACCCTTTCACCGCTTCCTCACGCCTACTACGAACCATCACCGAGTACAAAATTGCCAAATACTTATTCATTTCTCTTCACGTTAATTTATCATGCGTTTCTCATTCCGAATGTAGACCCGGTGCGTGTCCATTCTTTGTGCCGGTGACGTGAAATTCCACGTGTTTCAACCATTTCTACTTGTAGGCAAGCTCTAACATCATAAGTTTCGTTTTCAGGGGCTTTGCCTCTCGTGAATTGAATTTTCGTCTATGCACTATCTAAAGTCTTATTTTTCTATTGTATTACTGACTTTTCTATCGAAATTACTCGTAACTATCATCTATTTGGACAACTTCAAAATTCTCTAGGTACTTATCGTTGTTGATTTCCATGAAAACAAAAAAAAAAGATGCTATATGTCGTAGCGAATGCTGTATAGATAAATATCAATTTTATATTTTGTATATAATTATTTTTCTTGTATAAATTAATCAAATAGTCCTAGATCTGTGGATTAGGCGGTCATAAATGCATATTATTTACATATTATTTTTCGGGTTCACACAAAAAGAAACCCACCAAAAAAATGTTTTTAGTAAGTATCAACATGGACCAGTAAGTCAAGAGGACCGCTACTTGCGATACAAGACAGCGTAGTCGGACATTTAGGGTCGTATTCCAAAACTCTACTCAATGCTCAAGGCAGGACTTGAGTATTGCAGTGAGCACTGAAAATCATACACAAGTCCTTGCCATTAGGGTCGTATTTCCAGTGCTTGTGTTTCCAGTGCAATCCTGACTTGAGCATTGAGTAGAGTTCTAGAATACGACCCTTAGATAGCTATTTTTGTGACTAATTTGTTTTACCTTGACAAGCTGCAACTTATCAAAGCTTAAGAAAATTATAGGGGTGAGGCCAGACGAGTGTAATTATGTGAGTTGAGAGTTGAGTTTTTTGAGTTGCGCAGTTTGCGCTCGACCGAAATTCGGTTGGAGCGCCAGACGAACGCATTTTATTCAGTTGCTTTTTAAGCGTTTTCTACCAAAGTGACCCCTTCCGTCACCCCTACCTCCACCCGCGCCAGCCCGTCACACGATGCGACCGAAAGTCAGTCGTCATTACGCCCATGAGTCGGCAGATAACTCATTTTGCGTCGTCGTCGTCGTGTGAAACAAACCGTACTTTTATATGAAACCGAATGCAGCGCAAATAACGCAACTCACAAAATTACGCTCGTCTGGCCTCACACTTATAATATGATTTCTAGTGATAACAAACAAATCAACTAGATGGCGCTTATTGCACCGATTTTTATAGATAGTGCCGGCTATAATTTTATTTTCGATTAGCGCCATCTACCCATATTAGGAAGAGTTAATTTATAAATTAGTTTGTAACACGCAACGTCAATAGCGACAAGCATATTATATATCAACATTCAGAAAATAATTTAAGCTCATTATCAATATTTGAATAATATTACAACGAAAAAACTGACTTCTTATTATTTCATATTAAAAAGGAATTAATTAATATCTACGATCATTATATGTATAAACTACTTCCAGGCTTTTGATCAGCGCCATCTAGAGAGAAGATGGAGTGTTGACCTTTTTCTGAGTCACGATCTGTATGTAGTACGGAGGTGAGCAGTCCTCTTGAGTCCACGAGGAGAGGTCCATGGTATTAACAAAAATTTTCCACGAATACCTACTAACAAAAAAATATAATTTCGCGGCTATGAAGTAAATAGAGATAACCACATAGTAAGTCGCTTATGTATAACACGGGACTTTTATTTCTTATTATAAAAGTACATAATAGTTCGCCGATAATCGATGGTGTAATTTATGAATTGATCAAAGCTAAAAAGCTACCCTTTTCACTTTAGTCGTATCTGTGTATTTTCAAACAAGGGAATACGGCGTGTTGGCAACAATACACATATAGGGACATAAATCTGTTTTTGATTGCAAGTTACATCAACTTGGGTGAAATGTAAAAATAAATTCGTACAACAAAAAAAACCTCCAGTTTACGAAGCCAGTACCAGTACGATCGAACTCGCTTACGTTTGCACATACAATCAGAGACTTGAAAATCAAAAAGGGCACGTGGCGCAAATCGCGAGCACTGCGTTACAATTTTTATGAAACTGAGGTGCTAACTCCCCGAGCGCTTGTGAATCGGGCGATAGAAACTCAAGGGTTGTATAAATTTCGACCTAATCCGCGCCGCAAATTCATTAAAATTTCAACGCAGCACTCGCGACGGGCGCCCCAATTGGTGTCCTTGTTTTACGAAGAAAGAGGCCAGTGTTAGTTTGGAGGTGCTGCAAAACAACGCCTGTATATTCCTTTGTATTATTATATTAAACATGGCCAACATTTATGTACGATACAATATCACCGACTAACCATCGTATTGTTAAGTATTAATAATGAATAATTATGATCTCACTTCGTCACACTCCCTTCCCAGTAATTCTATATTTTCACTTGTAACATTTTAACATTTTGACGCGAAACAGTACATGGCTCGTTGAAACCATTATCATAGTATAAATAGAAAAGCATGGTAATTCTATACAAACGCAGCAGCGCAATATGAGCGACCGCTGCGTGCTGTCGTCGCACATATTCCGCCGTCGTTCCACGCGCCTTTAAATGATTATACGAACGTGTGCGTCCGCACGAGGGTTGGTGCTGATGCAGGTTTTAGATTTTTGTATGCCTATTTTCTTTTAAATGAACACCCTTACTGTATCTATCTACATTAAAAAGCTTTCTTTTATCTTTGTTATTGCAATAAACTATTTTGTGACTTTTATAAACAAAAGAATAAATCTGCATGAAAACAATCAATCTACCTAGCTTAATCGTTGTGGAATTTTATCAAAGTTATATTTAAAAAAAAAAACAACAGCTGAGCTGGTTTTTCGGCTTACAGTCTGTTGTAAATGATTTCAACATCCTTTTTAAGTTATGTCACAACCCGAACATTCGCAATGAATATCAGCATCGATAAATGCGGCTGCGGATATTTTAATTCATGCAGATTATTGGATGCTGATGTTCGCAACAACCCTAGTTCTTGCAAGGCGCGCGGCGGGAGTGCTCGCATGCAAGTCGCGCTGCTCTATTTGTAGACTTGCCTTATTTATACTGTGCCAATACAGTCTCTAAACGAGAATGGGAAATGGCCATTAACGTTTCTGAAAAATAAATTTTAATTAGATAACATGAGATTCTCGATTAGTGACGGTATTGTTTTCTACTTACAATATTACATCGTTTAACTATCAATATTCTAGAATATCTGTTTTGGAATTAGATTGTAAAAAATAGTAAATTATTAAATTAGATTACCAAATATATTATTTAAAAAATGGAATTTGATGTATTGATAGTTAATCTTTGCACAAGGAGAATATTGAATTACTGACTAGGTATTTTTTTTAATTTATGTGGACATTCATGTACCAAAAATCAATGTAACGGAATGAAAGCAGGACAATATTACACTGTGTCGATACAAAAGCTTGCGAGATAACATCTAGAAGAGTACACTATATTTTTGTTATAAAATGTATCAATTGTTATTTCATTTTGTGAACGCGCGTTTGGGTATGTACAATAAAATTATGATTTGCCAAACATTCTGGGCCCATAAAAACAAACCTCTTCCCTTCAGGCCCTTTTGAATGTGTTTTTTTTTTTTCTCTTAATATATTGGATATAAATCTTATTGTAAATTGTTTTAGGTATGAATGTTATAGATAAGATAGTTGTAACGTATTATCATTTGTAAGTATAAAATGTTTGTTTTAGAAATGACAGTCTGATCTCTTATGGTTATGGATGCGTGTAACTGTCGATCTAGTGGAATTCACGGGCTTTCACATTCTCTCTGTCTTTTGATGAATTGAAACAAAAATGTGAAGAAACAGACTGAACACACCTTAGGCCAACCTGAAAGCAGGCTATCTTATGACGTCATCAGCTTGCTATAAACGTCTTACATTCATAACATACTTTACTAGGTGCACCAAACCTAACAGTATTTATATAGCAGACGCTGTTTTCTCTTTCTCTCATATTACATTAAAAGTACGCGAGAAAGAGAAAGCATTATGCTGAATATAATTCGAATCTTTAATCAGTATAATAATATAGTCTTATTTGATTTTTAGTTCAGGACTTAATCATGAAAAAAACATATTTAAATTACCTCGACGTTTCGGACGTATCGCAACGTCTATGGTCTCGAAATTACTGAGTAACGCCCGACAAGTCGCCGGATATTGCGGCTGTTGTGTGTCGCTCTAGTGACAACCCGAGTGCATAAATAAATAATGAAGACTAAGTGCGAATATTTAGAAAAATTCGTACAGCTAGTAGATGTTGTCACCCGCCTCGTCAGTCCCCTTCGAGACCATAGACGTTGCAATACGTCCGAAACGTCGAGTTAATTAAAATATGTTTTATACATCAAGTCCCGAACTAAAAATCAAATACTGTGTGAAAATCGTGACAGTTTAAATCAAAGTAGTACATAGCCATTGTATAGAAAGGAGAACAGTTTGTAATAGCTCTGCAATTCCAGTGGAACGACAGAGAAGCGGCTAAGCCGCGAGTTTCCGTCGGGCGCCACTCACGACTCGGCGACATCTCCTTGCTAATGGTCAGCTGGTCACGGTAAATTCTACGCTATTATTAACGCTAAACGTATTATTTTACGTCAAAGCTGGCTGTGAGAGAATTTTAGACTGCTATCCAGAGGCCAAGATTAACTATTCCGCTATTGTTTTGTGTTGTTAATAAATAATTAAAAACTACATTTTACTAGACGACATGAAACGTTGGCAGGGTTGAAGTGATGGTATTGTTTGAGTAATG